TGAACAGGGGTTGGGTTTGGGGAACAGAGCCGTGTGCATTCTGACCAAAAAAAAAAAAAAAAAAGAAAATCTTCCTGCGACGCCCATGACGACACTGTGTCTCTGACTTTATCTGTATGTAAATGGCCGTCGTGTTGCAACGTTATGTGTAGGATGTGAGAACACATCCTGCAAGTGATGATTAGGAGTCATGTGGTGCGTGGTCAAAATGCAATTATCACAACATGTATCACACAGAGGAGGAGGAGGTGACATGAAAAACAGAAGAATAAGTGCAGAGACACCAGGTTGGTATCATCATACTGGTTTAAAAAAAAAAAAAAAAAAGACACGTGCCGTCCCCTCGTTTTTCACCTTCAAACACATTTGGGAAATTAAAAGCTGCAGAAGGCCAGACTGCTCCGCCGAACATGGAAATGGGTTTTTTGGTGTTTTGCTAATGTGTGGTGAGCTCCATCACAGGGAAGTCGGAGGCAGAGCCACAGATGTCATCAGGTAATCTGTCTCTCACTTCTTCTTTTTTTTTTCTTTTTTCTCTTATCTTTTATCACATGTCAAAATCACCGTGAAAACCTTTTTTCTATGGAACAGTTTAAGCTCACGAGAAGCTCATCCAAACTTTGGGCGCTCCATCTGCCGCTGCTCCGCGGTTGTCGTAAATGAAAATTAATTCATCCGTCTTCCGACGCTTAATTCTCTTCAGCGTAGCAGTGGGGGGGCTGGAGACGATCGCAGCAGTTGCAGGTGAGGAGGGGGTGGGGGGGGGAGGGACACTATGGGCCCGTCATCATTCCATCATCGGGCCACACCAAGAGACGACCAATCACAAACATCAGTGAATCGTCCACAAAAGTCGCCCCTGACGTTGGATCTCAATATTTGTTTGTCTCGTGTACTGGTACACACTGGTACACACTATGAGTGTACCAGTACATAGGTGGTATATGAGTTTTTGACATCATTAGGAATGACCGACAATTTATTGTCGATATACGATTAATTACGATTGCGATTAATCAACAGCCTACTGGGATAAATCAGTGTAAAAGTTGTACGTGATCAACAGCTCTAGTTTAATTATGTTACTGTAGTTTCGGAGTACAATTAAAAATACTGCAGTTCTGCTCCATTTAAATCAATACATCGTTAGCCACTTAGCATAATTACCTAAATCATATTTTAGCCAAATTGCGACATTTGCCCAACTCTACTTTTTTTTTTTATCTCTGCTGATTCACTGTGGAAAAAAAAATTCATTCTATCACTAGGTTAAAAACGTACAGCAGCTCGTCAGCCACTAGGGGGTGTAACGACGTGTAGAAACTCCTAACAAGAACAGCAGAGCGCCGTGAAGTGCATCAAGTGGAACCTTGTTGTATTTCTTCTTTCTCCGGGTCCAAACGTCTGACTTCACCGCAGCTTTGTTCTCCGTCTACAGCCTGTCCTTCCAAACCAAACCACCGCATCATCCGGCCCCTAGGTGGCTCCTCTGTGGCCGGGATGACGGGCAGCCCGGGAGACCAACAAAGCCCCGGAATCAAAGGTGCGTTGCGGTCGGGAGATGATGTGTCTGGCCCACTGATCCCACAGCTGCCACATCTTCATCTCTCAACGACGTACATTCCCCTAATTATCCCAACAACCGCCGCGTGTTTGCAGATCCAAAGAAGCTAACAACTGAAGCGCTTTCATAATGAAGACAACTTAGCCACACACATGTAAACAGGTTCAGACAGCTGCATGTTTTACCCTAATAAACAGGTGTGCTGACTTGGCTATCTGTGCACCAGCTCTCAGTCATTACATCTGCAGAAAAACTGGTAATTACAGCTGGAAAGGCACGGCTCTGTGTGCCGCGCCGCCTTATCTACATTACCTAATTTGTGCAGGACTAATGCTGTGCATGCATGAGCTGATCCACCATCTGGGACAGGAAGGTTTACTGAATATATATAGATGAAATGGAGAGACATTTGCACAAAGTGCACGTAGAAGAAGAGGAACGGGGGAAACAAGGGCGCAGCTGCAGCCGAGAAGAAAAAACAGCATCGACACAAAGTGAGAGTCGTTGGAAAAAAGGACGACGACGACGACTGGCATCAAATCCAAGGTTCAGGAAGAAAAAAGAAGTAATAATGCATCAGAGGTCATTTGCACCAAACTGACTTTGAACCAGCACTAAGTCACTCCCAACTCCTCCGCACGTTATTCTGACCATCGGTCCAGAACAAATAAAGTAACGGCTGAAGTCGAGGCTCGTGGACTCGTCACAGGTCAACAATCTGAGAGGCTGAAAAATTAGGCGCCGACTGACGCGGTCACCAAGACAAATCAGAGTGGGTGGGTGGGG